CGGGTAATGACTAGGCAAACAAAGCCTTTGTCCAACCATCCAATCAGAAAGCTTTCAAAACCAGGCTGTAAGAAAAGAAATAAACATATAATGAGACCAAAATTTCACCATCTCTAAAAATAGATGTATATTTAAAATCGCCAGGCCACAGAGCCATAGTTCGACCAAACAGTCAGAAAGCTTTCACAACCATGATACAAGGGCGCAAGCCAATGAGAAGCAGAACGCCCTTTTCCGAAACCGATCTATAGATGTGTATATAACCAGATGGAAAATTAACTAAAACCAGAGTCGATAAATTTATTTTGCCCATTCTCCGATTCTGCGGTTATCGTAACATTCCCAGAGACGAATTACGAGATTTTCACGATTAGCTGGCGGCCTTACACGACTAACCCGTACTTGCTACATTGAAAACAAACATACTTTCCTCCACCATGTGGTCAAGCGGCGGCTACTACACTTGGATACATACGTATATATATCGATATTTACTTCCTCTCGCTCTCTCTCTCTCTCTCTCTCTCTCTCTCACTCACTCACTCATGTGACAGGAATTTTACACTTGAACTCTTGAAACTTTAACTTTCACATTATACTTCTGTATTGATATATGGTGTTATATAAAGATTTATTTTGCATTTTTGAATACTCTGTACATTTTCTTTCAATCGTTACACAAGGCGAACATACACCGAGATCATCGGCTAGAAAGGCAAGAAAAGAAAGTATTAGAATAGAACTTACGGCTACAGGTAACTAATTCAACAGTAAAACATTCAAACCGAATTTCTAATTTAGTAGTATACTTAAATTCATGTGGCCAAAGTGCCAAGTACGAAAGCTCATTGGAACAACTGGTGGTAGGCTGTTCGAGTGGAACCTGCACCTCTCTAATCGATTGTAATGGAAATGAGGGCGGTTCGCTACAATGTACATGGCATAACGAGTCTTAGTCGTGAAGGGTAGAAACTTACTATATAATATACGAAGTATATTTGTATATTTTTTGTTTAAAGTCAGCAGTGCAAGGAAGATAAAAAAATTTTCGCCTTGCATTGGCGACACCAGGTGATAGTATCTTTGTAATAACAAATGTGGACTGTTCGGATGAAATCATATCTGTGAAATCTAGATCGCAAAAGGCATTGCAAATTGGTAAACGATAATAAACTGAATAATATGAAAACAAAATCACGTTTGAAATCCTCTCATAAGAGTAAGTGCATATCAAAATATGTGTTCGATTACAACAGCATGGGTAAAATAATACCAATAAAAATTCAGGGATCAGTTTTCTGTTGTTATAAAGTAATAAACTGATCCCGCATCAGGGTTTGTACATTTTAATATTATTACTGGAAAAGTCGTACGGTAATATAGCGTTGAAAGTTAAGCAAGGTCGAGCATGTTCAGTAACTAGATGGGTGACCGCTTGGGAATGCTAGGTGTTGTAAGCTTGGATGTACGGATGGTGTGGCTTTGGAATTTTTAATCAGAATGCTGACTTCCAATTTCAGGTGGGTTCGTTATATTCACTTACTCACACACATTTGGGAAAGGTATGAATCCACCTCTTCTTCTCCCCCCAGCTATGGGTTAATTAGTAAGACTTATATCACTAAATCATTATTACCTCAAAAATACAATCTAAAACTATTTTCTGGCGTAAAATAACATGCAAACGGTTGCTAAGACGTAAAAAACGAATTAATCTATAATTTGAAACAATAAAATTAATGACTCAAATTGGAAAATCTTTTAATAATATTAAGAGCTTAACAAATGTGGCTGTCCTGGGTATGACGATAAACTACATCCGCGTCCCGGGTAAGACGATAAACTACATCCAACAGGAAGGCCTCTGGTCAGGAGGTTTTGAGGAGCGTGGAATCACCTCTTAATTGCTGGTGTTCCCAGGTCCACCCTGAACCGAGGTGGTAGCACCTGTTAGGGTCCCAGGTATGGGCAAATAGTTAACAGCCAAACTTGGGTCAAAGTACTATGAAAGTGTAAAAATAGGTTTTAATAACAGAAATACTCTGTAAAAAAATTATTGCCAGCAATAATTTTTGAAGGAAGAAATTATTACCAGCAATAATTTAAAAAAAGAAATATCAACTATATAATTTTGAAAAAAAAAATAATGCAAGCTATATTTTTTTTTTTAAATATTACCAGAAATAGATTTTCGAAGGAAAAAATATTACCAGCAATACATTTTTGGAAAAAAAAATATTACCAGCAATTAAAAATTGTCGACATTAAATAACCCATTGAGGTTGACATGCCGTAAAACAAAACAAACGAAACCAAACAAATATGATCGTCTTCAACAGCATTGGATAAACATGTATTAATATAAAGTTATTAGACGGTTGTATATTTATTACTGGAGTTGTGGCTTGTATTCGAACCCAGGTGGGAAAAAATTTCAAGACAGGTTAGCTATGCTCATATTGAAGAATGAGATCGGAGTGTGGATTAAAACAACCCCCATTTAAGCTTGTGATATACTAACTAGCTTCCATCTGAACATGAGCTGCACCCAATTGAACGAAATGCAAGCATCGCTTGGAATAGTTATGCCAGTGGGAATTAATTATTCAGCTTATAAAATAAGATAAAAGTGAAAATGTATGTTTTCTGAGGCGGCATTATTCCTGTAACAAAATGATTGTGCCGTATTTTGAAAAATAATAATCGTGCGCCATCTTAGGGTGGGGTGAAAACTGAACGTAATAATTTAATTATGCCGGCACTTGTATTTGGTACAGGAAAAATACTAAGTAAATATCAGTAAAATAAAATTATGTTCTCCTTTGTAGTCATTTTCCAAGCGTAGCTTAGATGTGTCACAAAGCCGAAAGTAGGGGGCACACATTGAGGATCGAACTCACTACTTAGTCGTAATTGTTCTAGCGAGACAAGCTTGATAACCATTACACCACCTCGAGGTGTCCAATGTCCTCCTTGGTATATATGCAGAACGAGCTTATATTGTTCTCGAATATCAGTCCTTCTATATGCCAGTGAATGATGAAGAGTAGACTTGAGACCACAGAAACGTGGTACTACAAAAAGATGCTGAGAATTCCTGGACGGAGCATGTGAGCAACGAGAAAGTTTTAATGAAAATGGAAACAAAAGGGACATTTATATTTAGAATTAGAAAGAGACAGATGAAATTTCTCCGACACAACGAGAAAAGAAATCCTGAAAATTTTGATACTCACAAAATCGATTGAATGTAAGACGGATAGAGGAAATCAACGCACAACCAACCTGGTGAGTTTGAGTGAATGGATGTCGGAGTCAGGTTTGAGAGTGATGGCAAAAATTTATTAAGAAGTACAGAGGGCAGGAAATTGTGGAGAGTAATGATCGCCAACGTTTGGGTCACAAAAAAAACTTATAAAATTTGACACTTACAAGCAAGATGGACAGAGGAGAGCCGAGAGGAAACCTAACAAATTTGTGTAAATATATGGCTGAATAGAAAAGGGAAGATAACAAAACAAAAACAAAAAAAAAAAAAAAACAAGCATTTCTAAGAGTTACAAAGAATAGGAAGTTGTAGAGAGCCATAAATAGCCCACGTCCTGAAGGGACACGGCACATAGAAGAAGAAAATTTCCTACAGAGCGTAAGGTCAGTAAGACATTATTTTTGTTAATTTAGGATTGACAAGCGCCCAAATAACCAATTAGTTAAACTAATGGAGATCTACCAATTATCACCAGTTTGTTGGTCACAAGGTTAGGCAGTACAGACAGTGGTCGATTTTCACAGACAGAAGAAGACAAAAAGTTATTTTAAGACTGAAAGGGTCGAGTAAGCAAGAAAAAAAAAGAAAAAAAGAAAGAAAGAAAGAAAAAGAGAACTGTTTACAATGAATCATCTTATTGCTTAGTACCCGAAATTCACTCACATCTGTGTGACGCCGCCATTAACGCGTTTGTTATCAGTGAAAAGACCACTCGAAGCGGTGACGTCATAACTCTTCAAGAGCCATTTGGCGAGAGATGCGAAGCAGTTACGTAATTTCTAACCAACCAGTTCATTGATTCTTTCTCATTTGACGAACAATGCAACAATTTTTCGCTTACGAAAACAAGTCAGCCACGCGCGTCCGTACGTTATTTGCGTGTGCGCACGGAAAGATTCATATAGGCCGCTGCCAGTCTGTATACAGAAACCGGAACAAGTATTCCTCTGTGTAACGAATCAAAAGATGTGAGGCCTTGTATATCTATTAGCATTTTAAAAGGTTTCGTGTCCCGTCGTGTCGCATTTAGAGCATTATATGCTTTAAAGTATCAGGAATCAGAGTAAAAGTTTTCTTTAGATGAAAGAATTCATGGTTGAAATGTCAGGATATTTTATTTAGACTCACATCATACGTGTGTTAGAACACCGTCGATTAATCACTCTTCTCTCTCTCTCTCTTTCTTTCTTTCTTCTTCTCTCTCCCCATCTCTTTCTCTCTCCACCCCCCTCTCTCTCTCTCTCTCTCTATATATATATATATATATATATATATATTTATATATATATATAGGATTATTATGCTCTGTTTAAATAAAAATTTGTCACTTAGTTGACAAATCTTATATTCAGCACCTCGACCCTGAAGTTTTGTAGACGAAACGAGTGTTGATTAAAAATTACCATAACTGTTTATACTATTGTTCACACAATATATGTCCCAAGAGCCACTCAAGGTAGATACTTATTAAATTAGCTAGTGATCGGATTAATTGAGTGATTCATTTTTTAAATTGGAAGAATGATCTTTTTAAATAATAATGATTTTGTAAATAAAAGTCTTACTAATTAATCTATAGCTGGGAGGAGAAAAGGTGTATTCATAGCTTTTCCAAAGGTATCTGCGCCTAAGGGAATATAATGAATCCAACTGGAATTGAAACTTGGCTAATTTCCTGGGAGGAGATTAACAATTCCGTGTCGTTATCCATTACACCACTCGCATATCCCAGCTTACAGCACCTGGTATTCCTAAGTGATCATCCATCTAAGTACTGACCAGGCTCGACATTGCTTAACTACAGGGATCGTAAGGTGTTTCGTTATATGGCTGTAAGTGTAGTGATCACAGAAGCACCCTTTCGTGAATCCGTTCACAAAGTAACAGTTATAGGGAAGAAGTTGTTTGAATAGAACTTCCTCCTTACTAATGGAATAGAGATTGAATTAGGATGCGTCGACTTATTGCACGGGGCAAGGTGGATCCTACCTGGGAAGGTCTGCACGAAGAATATTTAAATTTTTAATATTTTTTAAATGCAAGGCAATTACAGTATTAAAATCCATTTATCTGCAAGCGAAAAATAATTTCTGACAAATTATGGTGATTTATTAGTCAAGATTAACATAACATAGAATTCTGTTTCTACAATGTCGTCAGAAGAGTCCACTACGCAGAGATGTTCACTTTGCTCTCATCTCTGTATATTTGTTTTATGTGCCATGTCCTTTCTGGACGTAGGCGATCATGGCTCTTCACCTCCCTCTATCCCTTGCAGGTCTCAACAAGTTCCTTCCCAGACCACGTTCTGTCATCCACCAGCTCAAGCCGGCCAGGTATGTCACGCGCTGCTTTCCCTTGTCTCTCTTTCCTTCTATTCGACCCGTGAGTATCAGATTCTCCAGGCCCTCCTTCCTCATTATGTGTCCCAGAAACTTCAGCTGTCTCTTCCTGATGTTAAGTATAAGCTTCCTCCTTGTTTGCAACCTTTCTAAGACCTGCTCACACGCTCGAGCCATGAATGTGGTATACACGCACGCAAATACAAATAATATATATATATATATATATATATATATATATATATATGTACTAGCAGCATGGGCCCGGCGTTGCCCGTGCTTGATTCAAAAATTGTACGACTCATACAACAATCGCTATCACTTGACTTAAAATATTTTTGCCCTTCCTTGCCTTTAAAGGAGTGCCCTTTTCCGTGCTGATGTTGCTACATGCCTTACTTCTTGCCTATCTCACATTACGAATTTTTTCTAAGCTCTATACTAAACATTAAATCTGTTACGAAAAAAAGAACTAAACAAAATGAACACAAAACGATCAGCTTTAAAAAAAGGACACGTAACTGGAAAAACCGAATGAAAAAAGAATGTTAACAACAAATACTTTTTCACACCCAACCCAGTTCTGCGGAATCAGAATTAACGTTGGGTTTAAGCAAATGAATGAGCCAATTGGAGTAAAGTGCCATGCAGATTTAAATTTTTCCCACTTGTGACGAATGCAGCTATCGATTTTTTTTTGCATGCTACTTAACATTCGTGTCAGTCAGCTGTTGGCTCTCACACTGGCCAATATAATCTTGCTGTCTATTCGTGGCAGCCAGCTATTGGCTTTCATTCTGGCCAGTACAAAATGACCGCAAACTACATGAAAACTGCCGTAGAGGCATGAAAAAATTGATTATTTCCACTATCGATGGGAGTTGGGAAATGCAAATTCGATCTTGGCCTTCCCGCTAACTTGGAGCATGTGCATGCAAATTTGGTGCAAATCCGTCGAAAATTGCGGCCGTGCATTGTTACACACACACACACACACACACACACACACACACACACACACACACACACACACATCCATCCTTATATATATATATATATATATATATATATATATATATATATATATATATATTATGCTACGTTTTTAGATCATATTAAAACGTGACAGTCTTATACGTATGTGAAGTCTCAGGTTGACAAGAGCATTTGACCGTGAACCGTGAAACCTTGTTACGTATATGCGTGAGACATTCTAACAATATCTATAAAAAAGTAACATTACAATATATGTTATGCTATCTTCAGGATACTGAGCATTGTATTCAACAAAACCAACGATAACCTGTATTGAACTAATATATATATATATATATATATATATATATATATATATTAAAATCTATTTTTTACATACATTGCTAAAACCTACCACCCCTCTCCTTCATATGCAAGACCCATTTACAGCCTCTTTCTCTTTACTTCCCCCTTCTTTCTTTTTCCTTTTTCCTTTTTCTTTTCTCTCTTCTCCCCTCCCATTTTAATATATCACTTCCGTTAAGTTAACCGTTTAAATAGGTTAGGGTCTGTCACTCCTCCTCCCCCAATATTAAGTATGATTGAGAGAAATATTAAATTAAACCCTCTCTAAACTCTATCATGTTTCTCTAACCACTCCTTATTACACTCTCTGTTAAATTACAAAAACTTACACTACCCATCAATTTTCATTTCATTTTTCGTTTCATCTTTTGGAAGTGTTACCTGATGATCCGGTGTCCTTTAAAAGGGCTCTGGTGAAATAAATTATTATAATGGAACCTTGAAATGGTCTGTTTTTCTTTTATATATATATATATATATATATATATATATATATAATGTGGAAAAACAAATATTCGTACACATACAAATGTTTAGTTTGTGAGAAAAAGAGAACCATGACGCAATTTATTCCGCCATAAATTTGGAAACGCCATGCTATACTGCTTGGCATTCTCGCCGGAAGTTCCAAGACGAACATTTCAGAGTGTTTGTGTGTCAATCTGAGGACAGTGAAGAGGATTTAGAAAGAGTTGGATGATATATCCAGTCAACATCATGGGGTTTGGTGTGATTACTAGTGATGGCGACATTATGCCTTCATTCAACTTCCCACAGGGCCTCAGTCTCAACACGGAGGCCTACATCAAATGACTTGAGGGAGTAGTGCTACCCTGGGTCAAGTGGGTGGTTGCTGGGAGACCCTATGTCCGTGAAGCGGACTCTGCACCATGCCACACAAGCAAGAGAAACCAGTCATACCTGTCAGACAAATTCTGCCACCACATCATCCCTTACATCGGGTCACCTAACTCCCCAGCCTGCAACTCTCTTGACTATTATGCGTGGGGCGCAGTTGAGCGAGAGGCCAACAAAACTCCTTGTAACACCAAAGATAAACTGAAGGCAAGGATTCAGCAACTTAAACAGGGAGACTGTCCAGAAGAGTTGCAGAAGATTCCGAATTCGTCTGGAGCTCGTAGTTGAAGCCAATGGCGATTTTATTGAATACATTTACTCTTTAGTATTTGAAGATATTTTTGTGTAATTTTGGTAAATATATGTTAAAAGGAGATACGAGTGTTATTTTCTTTTCTTTTTTTTTTTTTTAAGTAATTTACACGACAATTTATCCATCGCACCCGACTGTATCTATATAATAAATGCGTATGTCAGTGTGTCACTGTGTCACACATTTTCAACTTTATTCCTAGAGGCCGTATCCCAACATATCATACCATTTGGGAATCAGTTCGACACCTTGATCAAATTAAAAACATTCGGGGCCGGACCAAGACACGCAATCCTAAAATTTGGAATTCCCAACTTTTCATTATTGCAATTGTTTTCGCCGATTTTTTACGTGATTTTTTCGCGACGAATTTTTTGTACGATAACAATTTTTGAAATAAATTTGGGAATAATCAAAATTAATTGCGGAATATAACTTCATACAGCAATCAATTTTGAGTTCTTTTGTAGTTTATTGTTTCCTATCGCATCTACTCCTCCCCATCTATTGTGATGAAGGCCTCCACAGGAGCTAGCTTAAATCTAGTGTATATATATATATATATATATATATATATATATATATATATATATATATATATATATATATATATATATATATATATATATATATATATATGGAATATTAAAAAAATATGGGGAAAAAGAAATGGATTATTTCCCAAAGGTATATATACTAGGTCAGAATTTTAATTTATGATGGAATACAGATATTAAAAAAATAGAGATGCAGGATAAATATGAAAGATGATTTTAATTAATCTCATTTTTCATATATATATATATATATATATATATATATATATATATATATATATTACTCAGATGTATAATAATAAAAGTGTTATAGCAACGAATGATTGATACAGCCTCGCGACGATCTAAATTTTAAACGTTTTAAATATCAGACACAAAATAAAGATGTCATAAAGCAATCTTCAGATCAATGCGGATATAAGAGAGTTTTCGGGACCGGAGAATAAGTCTCTTATATCCGGGTTTCTTATATCCGGGTTTCTTATATCCGGGTTTGGTCTAGATAAGTATGGGAACAGTTTGGGACCAAAAAATCTCTCTTATATCCGGGTTTTTATATCCGGGTTTCTCTTATATCCGGGTCTCTTATATCCGGTTTATATAGGTATAAAAAATATATCACGATTAAAAATATATAAATCAACGAAAACAAAGTTTTGTTTATGTTATGTTTATGTTGTTATGAAGAGGAAAGACCAAAGTATTTTTTAAATATTTTTTGAAATTTTTTTTCTTTCTAGCACGTAGAAAATTTTGCTTAAAATTATGTTTTTTTTTTACGACAGCGCGACATATAAAAAAAAAGGTTTGTTTTATTTTGCGCTTTTCCGGCGGTTCTTACACGTTAATTAGGAAATTTTGCAAAAAATCAAATAATTGTTGGATTTTAATGAAATTTTCAGGACTTATTCAGAAATGAATGAAATCATTTTGGAATTTTTTTTTTTTTCAAAAATCTTGTTAAAAAAGATTTTTTTAAAAACATGTTTCCACCCACTTACATATTTTCAAGAAATTTCAAGAAATTAAATACGCGCCCCCGATTTTTTTTTTTATTAGTTATAAACAGGAATGTTTGTAGAAAGTAAATCACCAGTTTTTTTGTAAAACATTTAATTCTTTTTATAGAAAATCAAATTTGAATTTAAAAAAAAAAAAAAATATGACATTTAATTAATTAGAAAAGCTTACACCTGTTTTTGTAGATACGTTATACTAAGGACATTATTTTGTGAAGAAATAAAAATTTTCGGTGAATAATGTATTTTTTGCACATTTTAAAAGTTTTTTCATTAACGTCTTAAATACTTCAAAAATTTTTAAAATTTTTATTTTTTCACCCAAATAATGCAATGATAACGTTAATGAAAATGTAAATTTACAAATCGAACTTTGAAAAGCATA